TATGATCTGTACACAATTAATAAAAAGTATGTGCTAGTTTTTCAACTGATCATACTTGCCAGATTTCTTTGAGTAGATTGTGACTTGAAAAGCAAAACAAACAGTACTTAGTTGACAGTTCTTTCAAATATAGCTGAAAATTTAGCTAGTATTGTAATCAAGGTTATCTAATGATAAATATTAAAATGGCCTAAAAGCCTTATTTGGTCCCCTTAAAATGGGGAGAAAGGAACTTGCAAGGCGCCACTTGGAAAAAGAGATGGCTCATTCGCTTCATTCGTTGTGTAAATAAAAGTGATTTTCAAAGAGGCACCGAGAGGCAAAAGGTGGTGGTTGCCAGCTGCCATGATCATACCAGCTGCTGCTGCTTCTCTACATACTTTTATAATCGGCCCATCCACACTTTTTTTTTTATCATGAAGTAAGACTAATCATAGAGTTCTGTAATGCCTGGAGCTTTAAATACAGGAAATTTGCATCACATCGTTGGTTACAATATCAGATGTTAGGTCTTTTCTAGATGACACTTCATTGGAATAAGGTAGGGAAGGATATTGAACAAGTGAAGGAAATACTGTGTGTACATTAGATGGAGGATGCTACAAAGGTAATAGACAAATGTATGACCAAAATTTTGCCAAGGACACCATAGAAAAGGAATAAATTGAAATGGCTAAGGAAGGTACTAATTGTAGTGACCTGATATAAAAAGAATTGGGCAGATGAAACTGGTACAGAATACAGTACTGTAGATAGGTGAATCTCTAATTTGTGGATACAATGAGAAGGAAATAGCCTCATAGATAGAAAAGTAAAAGTGTAATGGAAGGCCTCTTTATCATAAAACATCTTTTGACTACAGAAGAATCTGGAGTTTTGATAAGGAAGAAAATTAACTTAACTGGGGCAAAACAATGACACAAGTAGTCTGATACATAAAAAAAAAATTGTGATGAAAGCTGCAGGTCACTAAGAATGGACTTTTCAAAGTAAAATGGGTAGTGGTTAAAATAAAACCTTGGGCAAGTGAAATGACTGAAAGCAGGCTTGAATTATTTTTACTAATACTTCCTCAAAGGCCCATAAAAATGAGCGTAAATGCCAGCCAAAAAATAAGAGGGCCGAATGAATGCATTAAAAGGAGAGAGTCCCTTTAAAAATTTAAATTGCATAAATGGAGCAACTTCAAAAATGCTAGAGCCAAGTGATGAAATGGAGAGAATTCTGAATAAGGTATTTCTGAGAAACTTCAATTTAATTTCAATCAATTCGAAGGTCATACAGAACAGTGTGGCTTCAGTGCTAGTGACGGAACCTTCTTAGGTTTGGTTCTGTATAGTAAACTGTCACCAGAGGACACACACACACTGATGCTATTCTGACCAATTTGTGATAATATTTTTGACACTGGTGCTCTTTAGGGTGGAATATTGTTGCATACTTCAGCCATATTCAAAGCTGGAGGAATTGCTGACTTAAGAATGTGCAAAGATCATTTATGGCCAGAATCCATTCAATAAAACATCTAAATTATTGGAATGGCTTAATAATTTTAAATCTGTGTAGTTTTGAGCACATATGAGAGATAATAAATTTCACTTTGAAAATATTAATGGGATGAGTTCCAAATTTGCATGTGGAAATAACTTTTTCACGTGCAGAGACCAGGAGGCAGAGCAAGACGTTATTGATAACTATTGATAAGTTTATAGTTAGTTATAAGATAACTATATAGTTATAAGATAGTTATAATAGTTATCTTATAACTTATAACAATAGTTATAAGATAACTATCGATAAGCAGAGGTGCAATAGGTATTATTAAAGCAATTCTATCAACATCAAGGGCCCAAGACTTTTTAAATCTTTGCCTCTCAACATAAGGAGCATAATTACCCAACCTCTCAGTGTTCAAGAGAGAACTTTATAAACTCCTCTAAAGAATACCCGATCAACTGGGCTCTGACTCATAAGTCAGATTGTGAGCAGCTGTGCCGAACAGCTTAGTTCAATGCCAGACCACCAACCACGAAGCCTGGGCAGAGACTGGGCCATGGGGGAACATTGATCCCTGGAACCAGCACTAGGTAATACATTCCAGAAACCTCCAAAAGACCTTTTTCACACATGTATTAACAGCATCAGATTGCCTCGAGGCCTTGCTCCCTTCTTAATGCTCCCCATCAGAAGGGGGGTGGCTATGACCAACCCCCCACAGTTTTTACTCTATGAAGCTCTCCTGACCCCTTCAACACTTTATTCCATATATATTGTTCCACTCTGTTCTTCCAAGATGTCATTTTGCTCTACCATATGATATAGCCTTTTTGCATCCTCGGTAAACGATTTTCGGGCATTCTACTAATATTGCTATACCACTACTGTAATGTGCTTTATCCTCTCCACAATGCTGTGTTTCATTAAGTCACCCCTGTCACTTGTACCACAGCTCTTAAATACTGTACAGTCATTGATGTATCATCCTGTATATGTACAAAAGCTGCTTCTGAGCGCTTGACCTTTTTCCATATCTAAGTTCCATTTCCATGTGTCTGGGCTGTGATGTCCTTTCATTGTTGTTCACCGCTCTAATCACTTTTCCCTGCCTTCCATTTTTATCTAACTGCTATACATGGATGCACCGGGACACCTGCACATTGTTTACACACAAGGCTTACTGGCCTATGGGCATATTTCATTCTTTTGCTTTTAGTCCTACATGGCATGGTGATATTTTACCTTCATTTTTATGTGATGTAAATGTGCTAACCAAGGTAGCACCAGGAGAATGCTTTAAGAATTCCTCTAAGCATAAGTGAGGTATTACCTTTCACACTATTTTACTCAAGGCAGACTGAAGATTGAAGTTTTTGTCAAGTTTTTTATTTCATAGAAAAGTAACAGCTCACTGAGACTTTCCTTTGCTTTAGTTAGATGCAGACAAGAGTGCGAAGAGTATTGTGCAGTGGAATCACATAAGCATATATAAGGTTTCAAGTGTTTTGTTAAAGCGGTAGAACTATGAACCTAAGTGCAGATTTTTTAATGTTAATTATATTGTTATACAGTATATGGTTCATTTCATTTGTGTACATTTAACCTACGGAGTACCAGTTGAACAACTTGAGAATGCCTTGCTTCAGAAGTATGTGCGGAGTCAATTCATGCATAGTACATTAACACTCCTGTGATATATCCAGCAGAGCAACAGACTCGCCCACAAAAGTCTTTGTGTTTGAGCCCAAATACACCTATAATGTTTAATCGTTCCCACAAATTTTGACACTTTTCAATATGGAGTAAGTTTTGTACTGCATTTAAAATTCATTGTATACAGCATGTCAACTGATGAAAACCATAGGAACTTGCCCTTTACTTCCTAACCTCCTGTGCTTTTCTAGCAGCCCCTTGGCAAGTTAGGGTCAGGTTTGGTAGGCAATTAAATTTGAATTGCTCAAATCATTATTTTGCCACACTGAGATCTACAAAATTTACAACATCCTTTTTCCATTCTTTCAAACATCATTACCTTACCTTTTCCTATGTTGACCATCGGCTTGCTTACTTACTATCGAACTTGTTCAGTCGTTTTGCAATTCCTACTCTTAAGAACACTGCATCATACTCTTAAAGATGCCAGTACAATTTTTCATGTTGATAACCATTTACCACAATCCATTCCTGCTCCAGGTGTGGGAGGTACCATATGAAATGAGTTTCTTCTGTTGTGGGGTTCTGGTGACAGATTCTACAGGGTCTATATTCTAGTTTTGACAGAGTTCATTGTTAAACATTATTGGATGTGAAAATGTTTAAGGAACCTGGACATCAGTTGCATTTTGCACTTGCAGACCAAACTCGATTCGGTGACTTCAATTGCTTTTTGTAGTGAAAGGGTTAAAAACAGCATGGCCTATTACGTCTCATAAAATTTATGGTATCCATATTTTCTCGCTTTAAGTCTAACATTAAACAATACATTTGAATCTCTGCTCTTCTGTTGTTTAAGAGGTTCATATGCACTCTTAAGTCATTAGGAATAAATTGATCTGTTTATTTACATTTTTTCTGTAGGGGAAAGATAAATAAAAATAATATCTTTAATATTAATATTTAATCCAGTACAGTACAGTGGAACCTCGGTTGCCAAATGTCCTTCTTTACGATTTTTTTTTTTTTTTTTTTACGAGCTTGATTTCTTCGTAAAAATTTAAATCGCTTTACAAGCTTCGTGGCACGGGTGACTGCTCTTCAGTTTACCAGTACCTCCTGCCTAGCAACAATCGCACTTGAATTCTTTATAAAGATTTTTTTTTTTTTTTTTACATAAAGGTAATTATAGTGTACCATGCCATGGGTTCCAAGAAAGTCCGTGATAAGGTTCAACACAAGAAAATAAATGTGAGGAGGGTGATGGAGGAAAACAGAGATTATTCATAGTGAGACAATGTGATTCTCACTACAGACGAGTGTTACAACTTGGGCAAAAACAAGTGTTGCTACACAGATTTTTAGTGAGACAGACAAACAGTGAGCCACAAGCAGGTCCTAGTGGTATGCCTGCAAAATGTAGGAGAGAGTACCCCAGAGAAGTCATCACTGTCTGATGTTATAATGGAAGGGGGACTCTCCTTCCATACACTAACACCTCTCCCCCTCCCTCCTCACCGTCTTCCATACACCAACATGTCATCAATAAAGGCAAGCTGTGACTTGTACATACTATAGTATAAAATATTTGTGTGTTATGTATGAAATGTATTTTGAAGTTAATATTTTTGGGAGTGTGGAATGGATTAAATTTATATTACTGTATATCTTATGGGAAAAAATAATTTCGGTTTGCAAATTTTCGGTTTGAGCCATCTCTGGGAATGGATTAAATTTGAAAACCAAGGTACAATACCACTTTGTGTAACTATATGATGATGTGAAGGTTGTTAACAGTATCATACTTTTGCAGTATTGTACTGTTCTCACTTATTTTGTTTTATTTCCAGACAATAATGAAAGACAGATGGATGAATATTGGTTATGAAGATGATGAACTTAAGCCATATATAGAACCTGTGATGGATTATGATGACCTAAAACGAATTGAGATCCTTAATGAAATGGGCTACTCGCGAACGGAAATTGAAGAGAGTTTGAAAAGTCAGAAATATGATGATGTATATGCTACCTACCTACTTTTGGGCCGAAGATCTTCAGATGTGAGTAACTATTGCAATATCGTAATTGATGTTAAATATTTATTTAAATCATCTTTGAAAATTTGTGTAAGAAATAACAGATAATTGATAATTGTGAGAATGTTTTTCTTAACCGATGCCCAGGGAAATTCTTGCTCATGAGTCACTCGTTGGTCTACCCCACCAGCTTGCATCATCTCAGCATGTTGTTTGCCCATCATCATTCTCATCCCTGAATATTGGTTGCCAATCATTTCCTTTCCAGAATGTTGATTGCTTTAGCATAGCCTCTTGTGTTTTATTTCGGAGCCTTTCTATAAATTCTATTTACGTAGTTAAATTGTAACTTTCTAAACTCCTCCCACCCCACTCCCATTTACCTAAAGTGTTTCCAAGATCAGTGTGCCTACAGTCTCTGTATGGACTGCTGAATGCCACTGAACAGTGTGATAGAAATCACAGCCATTTGGAAGGTTTATCAACTTTCTTCCCAACAGTAAATATATGAAATACATTGGGGCAGTGGATTCTTTTCATTATCATCTTCATGTCTTTGCAAAGAGTCCATTTTAAAGATGCTTTACTGCTAGAATTCACTCAATAAAATATCCAAATTATTGGGATAGCTTACATATTTTAATTAAATTTGTATTCCCTAACTGCAGGTGGGAGAGAGAATAATTATTTACACTTGGAAAGTACTAGGACTAGTTCCAAATCTGTACACAGAAACAAGACCACATGAGACCAGAAGGTATGGCAGGATGGACAAAATAGCCAAATTGAAATTCAGAGGTGCAGTAGGCATGCTGAGGAAACTCGATCAACAGCAATGGCCCAAGTCTTTTTAACACTCTCCCTCTACACACGTGGGGCATAACTGGCCAACCTCTTGCAGTGTTCAAAAGAGAACTTGACAAAACACCTTCAAATGATATTTGATCAACCTATGATTGTCAGGCTTCGAGCACCTACATCAAACAGCCTGGTTGATCAAACCAGCAACAAGGAGGCCTGGTCAGACACTGGGTTGCAGGGACACTGATCCCCCAAAATCATTAACAGGTAGTCAACCTCTCCTCGTAGCGCTTGTCTTTCAGTTCCAGGAGCCATTTTGTTGCACATCTTTGCAACAAAAGTTCCAGTTTGTTGAGATATGGGCTTCTTAAGATGCGGTCACCATACAACCGCTGCATATTCCTGCTTTGGTCTCAAAAAGGTCATGAACAATTTCTTTAGTATCTTGTAATCCTTGTATTTAAAAACATTTCTGAAATTGGAAAGCATAACATGGTCTCCTTGCACAATGTTTTTTGTGGTCATCTGGTGACAATTTTCTATCTAGAACTACCCTTAGATCTTTATCAGAATTTTGTTTAAAACTTTTTCACATAATTTGTAGGTTGTGTGGGGTTTATTTTCTCCAATTCCACATTCCATAACATGGCATTTATTCACATTAAATTCCATTTGCCAAGTGGTTCTCCATACATTTTTGTCCAGGTCATCTTGAAGGGCATGACAATCATCTAAGTTTCTTATCCTTCCTATTATCTTAGCATCATCAGCAAACATGTTAATATAATTCTGTGTTCCTTCTGGTAGGTCATTTATGTAGACAATGAATATTACTGGTGCAAGAGCTGAACCCTGTGGTTCTTCAATTGTAACATTTCTCCATCCGATACATTGCCTCTGATTACTGCCCTCATTTTTGTTAAAACTTTTCATCATGTTCAAAGCCTCCCTGTCACTCCTCAAGTATGTTCCAATTTTCAGAACATCCTTTTATGTGGAACTGTTAAGCCTTTTTCTAGGTTCAGATAAATGCAGTCAACTATCTTATAAAATCTCTGCTCGAAAACCATACTGTGTTTGTTATATAATTTTTGTCCTTGTATTCTTCCCATTTGGTTTCAATTATTTCTTGCATTACACTCTCGTGGAAATGTATTTCCACTTCCTTACTATTTTCATTACCATGATTGCTGCAATAAGACATCTTGTTAAAAAAAAAGCAAATTAAAGTTAAGACAATGCTATAATTAACCATTGCTCTGCACATCACATCCGCTGATGGTTTGACCCATGGTGTTCATTGCATCCCCTGATGGTTTGACCCATGGTGTTCATTGCATCCCCTGATGGTTTGACCCATGGTGTTCATTGCATCCCCTGATGGTTTGACCCATGGTGTTCATCCCGCGGCTACACGGGTTTCACATCAGCTTCCTCAGAGGCTCCAGTAAACAGATGCCATTTAAGAAAAATGTGGGTACCATTCCTGGGTGTGAGAGCCTCAGTACTGAGTGAGCAACCAAAGCTGGCATGCACAGAATGAACTAACCACTGCTGTTCAGCTTGTAACCCCTGCTTCGCTTAAAAATGTCAAAATATGTGTAATTACTGTTATTTACCGATAATATTACAGAAGAACCCAACTGTGATAAAGATTGTACAATGTTCAGATATTGGTGAACAAAATGCTGTTAAGATGTTCACAGCGCTAGGCAGGTAGCCATAGCATACTGCCATTGTTTGGTCCATCTAAGAATCTTGAAACGATTTCTTATGTTCCTTTACAAAATGAACTTGTGGAAAATTATTTATTTACAGGATTTAGTGACCAGGATTCTGATAACAGCATTGTGGTGAGAATAATGATGTGCATAGTACAGTATGGTGGGAGGAGGAATCTTGGCAGTGAGGTAGCATCGTCGGCTGACTGGTACAGTATGTGGCTGCCACTATGCTGTTTCGATGCACATACCAGCTTAGTGGTTAGTTATGGTAAAAAAAAAGGTAGTTACTTGTATATAATGTGTGTGTATATAGTGTCATAACAGCAAAAAGAGAATGTTGGGAGGAGCCATTTTGGTGAGGGAGGTGCCGTCGTCATCTGGCTGGTTTGTGACTTGTCATGCAGTGTACTCACGTAATTGTGCTTGCGGAGGTTGAGCTTCGTCTCTTTCGTCCCGCCTCTCAACTGTCAATCAACTGGTGTACAGATTCCTGAGCCTACTGGGCTCTATCATGCCTACATTTGAAACTGTGTATGGAGTCAGCCTCCACCACATCACTGCCTTGTGCATTCCATTTATTAACTACTCTGACACTGAAAAAATTCTTTCTAACGTCTCTGTGGCTCATCTGAATATTAAGTTTCCACCTGTGTCCCCTTGTTCGTGTCCCACCCGTGCTGAAGAGTTTGTCTTTGTCCACCTTGTCAATTCCCCTGAGAATTTTGTAGGTGGTTATCATGTCTTCCCTTACTCTTCTGTTTTCCAGGGACGTGAGGTTCAGCTCCTTTAGCCTCTTCACGTAGCTCATACCTCTCAGTTCCGGGACGAGCTTGGTGGCATATCGCTGAATCTTCTCTAACTTTGTCTTGTGTTTAACTAGGTATGGACTCCAAGCTGGAGCTGCATATCTCAGGATTGGTCTGATGGTCACTGCTGTGACCATCACAGCATGTCGTATATGATATACCATCAGTGTATGATGGTCACTATGCTGTTTACACACCATACCACCTTAGTTGTACAGTTATGATGAACAAAATATGTAGATACATATAACGTGTGTAGTGTAATAACGGCAAAAGCCGTATGTTTGTGAGGAGGAATCCTGGCACTGAGGTAGTGTCGTCAGCTGACACTGACAATAAGTGTTGGTAACTAATATGCTATTTCATGCACCATACCGGCTTTGTGGTTCGTTATGGTGAACAAGACATGCAGATACATGTAACGTGTGTGTGTGTGTATAGTGTAATAACAGCAAAAAATATTCTTTGACTTTATGAACATACTAATTGAATCGCTAATTTGTACACCATACAGTACTTTTGAGTATAGCGATGGTTCACACATTAAATTATATAAATATATCACAATACACACTATTGAATAATATTACTGCAAAAAAAAAATATTGAGAAAAAATTACATTGAAATAATTATATAATAATATCTTTGTGGCAACTTCTACTTGATGGCTCGGGTGGAGGAGACTGGCCCTGTACTCTAAGCCTGTACCTTTGCAGACTTCCTCGCCCTATCATGACCAAAATGTCATGATAAATTCAAAAGGATTTTTTTTTCTTTCCTTAGTGATCAAGGAACACATTTTAACAATTTTAAAAGGAATTTTTTTTCATGCGCACAGCACTGTTGTCAGCGTTTAATAGCTGTGCCGTCCAGGGGTTAATTAATAAATGCAAAGTCTAAAACAAAGCCAGTAGTTCACATATTCTCAAATACAGGTACTGTAATCGTGTCATTGGCTGTATCATAACACTCAGAAGTTGTTTGACGGATATTTATGCACTTTAATCTCTCCAATTCATTGTTTCTTTACAAACAGACCACACTACCACACTGGTTGTAACACATTCCCTGATGGTTTGACCATTGGTGTGCATTGCATCCACTGATGTTTGACCAATAATGCGTATTACATCCCGAAACATTAATGGGTACTGTGCAACATTCAAAATCTGCATTTGCATCCTCATTCCTCCAGTAACAGAGGCCATCTTGGAAAAACTGATTACAACAACTTAGCTATGGGCCAGTAGTGTTTGTGATAGCAATCATAAGTGGTGAATGCAGCTCAATCTCCTACGTAGTCATGCAGCTCTGTTGATATTTTCACTCGCAGATGTCATAATAGAAAAACTGAATAAATATTGACTTGTAAATGACTAATGATTCTGAGTGATAGATTATGTAATTGACTCAGAAGACAGTAGTCTGGGCAGCACTTATCTTTTATTATCTTGCCTTACAATGTGCTCTGCTGCTGCACTACCTTGTCTCTTTACCACCTGTTGGAGTGCATGCCAAGGCCCAATGTGAGTGTACTTTATGCAAAAACGTAAAGGGAAGGAAAAAGAAACGGAAGGTGGACTTGGTGTCAAGTGGGCAAGGCTAGGCTGTACTTGGACAATTGGTTCCCAGATTCACACCTTCCAGAACTTCTTAGTGGTTTGCAACATTGCTTAAACATGTATGTTTAAG